TATGCTTGATATCATTATGATAACAATGTCAGTATATTGATAAGGAGAAATCAGTTGAGGTCATATGGTCCTGCTAATTTTCTCCTTGGTTTAGTGAAGCCATCTATCTGTAAACACAATTCACAAAACAAAACTACACTAGACATAGGTGTTGCTGATGGCAATCAGTTGATAGATGTTACTTTCTATGCTTTTATTTTTCTTTACTTATTTGTCATTATTTTTATCATTATTTTTTATGGTAGAGTAATAAAAAAATTATATGTATAGACCATAGCTATATGTCTTATTAAAAACAAAAATAGTTGACACTGATTGCTTAACTGCCTGCATTTCAAATCCCAGGAGAACCTTCCTTCACTGAATGACCCCTTAGTGACACAGCAGCTCCTGGTCGACCGTATCATCAAACTGCAAAAGTCGGCAGCCAAAAAGGCAGAGAAGATTGAGTTCCTTGAAGAACACGTAGCACAGCTGGTCTCAGAGCTCAAAAAGAAGTCACGTATTATCCACCACTACATCATGAAAGAGGAGGCAGGAGCACTGGCCAACTCAGCGTCAGACACCTCCAAGGTAAGGCTTTCTCCTCTTTCCAGCCTGGCCTTTGTAGGTCTTGGATGTGGAGCTTTACTTGAGACCTCTCGTTTTGCCTGTGAATGAAGTGGGAATAATGTGCTGGCAGGCCAAAGTGTGTGGCAACATACTCAGCTTTTCTTCTTATGGCTGTTTGATGTCCACACTTTCCATTATCCTTCAACATTGAAAGGATTTAGGATTAAATCTCAAGGTTGTTAACTTTTACAAACTTTATTCTCCTCAGGGACTTATCTTTTCTCCTGAAATTAAGGCTGAAATTAGGTAAAAAGGATTACTGCTTAATATGTGTATGAAGACTATAATATAAAATGATTCCATTATTATTTTATGAAATATATATAAGTAGATTTAAATTCAGTTTAATCTTTCCAGACATAGATTACCTGTTGGTTTCTCAAAACAGCTATATACTCACAAATATAGTGTAAATTCAATAGATTATAAGGGGAAGGGTTACTAATGCATGCCAAAAATGGCTCACTTCCTTCATTTCTTTTTTTCAAGGACTTTTGAACTCTCACCTTATCAAATAACTTTTCTTTCCATACCTTTGACATTAACAAAAAAATTCTACACCAGCACTTTGTGTTGACACATGCATGCAACAGTTAACTGGGAAATCATATAACACTGTCTTTTGTGTTGCTTTCATGCTAGTCTCCCAAAGTTAGCAGTGGAAAAGCAAGGAAAGCCCAGGTAAGGAGTTTAGCTTTGGTGCATGGGTGAATAATGTTACTGCATCTCTGCTTTGTAAGTCCTGGAAGCATGTTGTGGATCTCTTGGTCTTTATACTGCTACCTTTAGATTAGTCTAAATCTTGCTCGGAATTTAAAAGCTATTAGGTGGTATTTTCAGTTATTTGTTTTTTTATATGTGAATAGTGTATTTTAGTTTTAGTAATACTTTGCTTCTAGATATGTAGCCAGGGGAGGAATTAAAGTTCAGAAATACCGTGTTTTTTGACACTTTATTACTGTTGTGGCAGTTTATCTCACTTTGCTTCTTTGGATGTTCTATCCTCATTTTTTGCTCTTTACTTTTTTCTTAGATCTCTCAATCTTTACTGGATCTTATGCTTTCTCATGTCTCTCTTTTCATCTTCATTGAATGTTTTTTCTTCTTTCTTTCTTTTCTTCTCTGCATTGTTCTACTCTTTTCCGGAAAATTTTCGCTTCTCTTTTTTCTCTAAATCTTCTGCAATCTCTCTTCTCCCTCCTGCTTTTATCAGTAGAGTCTTATTGTCTGTTTTACTTTTTCCTTTTGTTTGTATGAACCATTTCTTTATAAAATGGATTTCCATAGTAATGCTGGCAAGTATTTTATTTTTCATTTTCTTTTTCTTTTTTATGATCATTCATTTGTTCCTAGGTATTTCCATCTTTATTTTCTTTTGAAAACAAAGATAAAAATCTTGTTATTATGTATGTATCTTGTTGAGAAGAAAAGGTTATTGAGCTAATGAAGCAATATGATAGTATGACCAAGAAACTGCAGACTTGGGTAACTTAGTCAACCCCCATTTCACAGAACCAAACTTAAAAAGATCATTATTCTTGGTACAGTGTCACCTCTCAAATAAAAGTAATTAGAATTATGACTAGTTTGGAAGCTATGTATCAAAATAATTTGGGATGTGAATATTATTGTGGGGCTCCTGGGCCAGGCACACATGAACACTCATGTGTTTGGTGACAAGAATCCATGCACCCTTTGCAATGTTATTTTGTCTTTTTTGCATAAGGGTTTTTAGCTTTTTTGCTACTTTCCAATGTTTATGTTTGTCATTTGATTTGCTTTATTGAGATGGTAATCAGTAGCACAAAGTTATTTGTGTTGTCTTTTAATTTTTTCATAACATTCCTTCATTTGTAATACAACTTGCACCACCAATCACAGTGAGCAG